GGGATACTCAGTGTCCAGATACCACCTTACAGCTTGCTTGTGAATCACGAAGGGTAAAATGTACTTTTACAAAGGAAAGATCTGAGAGACATCATAGCCCGAGGTCAAGCCTGGCACTTGAGTCTCGGTGTGAGGTCTGGTGCCCCCTACTGGTATCAGTACAAAAGACGCGGCATTGTCTCCAGTCAAGCCTCCAAATGAACGCTTAACTTGAAGCTCTAGCAAACAACGGAGTAAACTCACATCGTGGCAACATTTTTCCACAAGGCCAAATGGAATAACTGGAAAATTGCAACACCAGTGTCAAAACAATCCAACGGTATGAGGACCCTTCAGATTGAAGAAAAAGAACATGAAAACTAAAGACAGTGTGTGATTGTTTTTAATTTTGGTTTGGCTTTTTCAAGACAGGATCTTGCTTTATAGCCCAGCCTGGCCTTGAACCCATAGTGATCGTTCTGCTTCAGTGTCCCAAGTGCTGAGATTACAGCTGTGCACCCCGGTGCCTGGCTTTGTGGTGTGTGATTCTTCATGGAACCCTGTATCAGGATGCAGAATAGTTATCAAAGATGTTCTAGGTTATCTGGGAATATTTGTCTGTAGATTTCGGACTTGATAACATTGTAATGATGCTTTGTGTTGAAAACTATAATCGTACAGAAAATATGCTTGCTCTTCAGAGGTGCGAGGTAAAATGTCTGGGATGAAATGTCATGACGCATCATTTACTCACAGATGATTCAGCAAAATGAAGAGGGGGTGTTTTATGTTGGAAGACAGGTTAGTAAATCAGTTGTGATGCATTAAAATCAGTGAACCTGGTGTTTTTACATTTTCAGTGTGATATGCTGTGTATATGAACAAAGAGAGGGGGGGGGAGAGAGGAAAAGGGCAGAAAAGGGCCGGGGAGCACAGGGGTGGGGACTCCCAGTCTCCAAACTTTGGTGTGGGGGGACTAAAGACAGGGCACACACGCCATCTAGTGGCCAGACGGCACTCCCTCAGTTGCTGCCAACTTTAAAGGCCAATTTACTCCGCATTTATTGGTATCTTTCCACAGTCCCTGCGGGTTCTTCCATTTTCCCATTTGCGAAGCACTAATTTCTGTTTATATTTCTGCTCCTCTAATTTTCCGTTATGGATTTCCAGTTGCTTTGGAGAAGCAAGCCAAAACGCAGATTTCCTCTCCCCAGAAACCTAACTGAGCCCAAATACTTTGATAATGAAGAAGGAAGAACAGAGTCCCACTTGCACGCATTTAACCAGATCGCTTTTGCTGTACCACACCAGCAAACCGCTGGGCTTTCTGACTTCCTCCTGTGGAAATAAACAAAGACTAGCCAAATGAGAAAGCATGTATTCGGGGCTTGCCAGGGCAAGAGAGCGGCTGTCACCTGCAGCTGCAGCAGCAGCAGCAGCAGCAGCAGCAGAATGGGAAGACTTTAGAGTGGAAGAAAGCAGAGGTTTGGGGCCTGGCAGCGGGCTCACGGGAAGCAGGAAATCCTAAGGAACTGGTTAAGGGGCACAGAGAGCTTTCCCCGGTTCTCCTGAGTTGGAAGCAGGAACAAAGCTCAGGCAAGAGGCCAGTTATGAGCACAGTCCGGCTGCCTGCGCTGCTTGCTATAGCTAAAGGGTCGCTTTCCTCCCAGGTTGCTGCAGGCTGTGCATCAGAGGTCTGGCTTTATATACACTGTTGTTTACCCTTGGATGGGCCCAGAATAGTCCAGGTTCTTGTGTGTAACAAAGAAAGAATTGCCAAGCATATGCCTCATCGTCATAAGTAGCTAGGTTTGCAGAAGATCACAGACAGTAGCAGCAGGATCAGGCAGAAGGACAAACAGAAGGAGGAGGAGGAAGAGGAACCGCCATCACGCAGGCTTCTAGCGTGTAACGGGTCTCCCATGCCGTCACCCCCCGGTGCCCGTGACCTGCCCCCTTGGGTGGGCATCACGACCTAAGCTTAAGCATGGATGATCATTAGGATGCCGCTGTGTTTATAGTTGACTGAAGCCGCAGGGGGTGGCTCCCTCAGCGCCCCTGTTTCTACCTGTGCTAGTGTGGCCCACTCTTCACTTGTGTATTCAGCTGCTTATGCTGGAAGCAACCTGTTCTCAAATATGGCCTGGCCCAGTGCAGGTGGCTGCAGGTGACAGCTGCTCCCGCCCCGGAAAAGGGGTGCCTGAGAAGCGGTCGCAGGCCAGATTTGCATCCCGGTCTTCATGTCCAGCCTAGGAGAGGCCCCTCCAAGCCTCAGCGGGTCTCCTTTTTCCTGGAAGGCAATCTCTGCTACCTTTCCTTCCTCACGGGAAACAGCATCCTAAGGGCTGGCTCTGAGCCCACCAGCGCCCTCTGGAGGCTTGTGGCTGACTTGCTGGAGCCCTGAACAGATTGGCTCTGAGACTCCAGTGGACATCAGGATGGGCACATCCTCTGTGCTGGCCCCGGGGCGGATGCTTGCGAGACACCACCGCCCCAGTCCCAGCAGCTCACCGAGACCCCTGCTCACCTCTGCTCTCTCTTTCTCCACCACCAGCCACTCCGTGTGAAATGGTCCCACCTCCGGTTGCCCTGGGTGAACCTCGACTGGCTCATCGACATCTCCTGCCAGATCACGGAGCTGGACCTTTCTGCCAACTGCCTGGCTTCCCTCCCCTCTGTCATCCCCTGGGGACTCATCAACCTCCGGAAGCTGAACCTCTCCGACAACCACCTGGGAGAGCTGCCCAGCGTGCAGTCATCGGACGAGATCATCTGCTCCAGGTGGGCCTCCTGGCGCACACAGGCTGCCACACTGACCTGCCTGGGCTTCTGCGTTTGTGTTTTTGAAACCAAAATTTCTGGCTCAAAGGTGAGAAAGAAGTGTTGCCGGCTCTTGCGTGAGCTCTCCAGAACTCTTCTGAGGCGAACTCAGAGATGTCTAGAGAGATGGTCTGGCCACGTTGCATGCTAACAGCCGCACAGCACTAACTGCCTGGCCACGATGCCTGTCTTGATCCTGCACAGAAATCAGACCAGGGTGGCCGACAGCTTCCTGGGCTGGTGGAAACCTGAGACCCCTTCACCAGGGAAAGTGGGAAGGCACTTGGGAGGTAGGGTCTGCTCCATGGTATTCTGGCAGTGTGGGGACCACGTGAGTGCCGGCTGTGTTCTCTGGGGGCATTGGGAGAGGACTGAGCCTTCCACTGAAGCTGCATGGGAAGGGAAAGGGCCTGCTTAGCTGATTCCTGCAGGACCCATATCTGCAGAGCATTGTGCTATAAAGGGTTTGAGCTGGTTGCAAAAGCGAGGGCTCTAAGCGAGGTAAGAGACCAGGATGTTAGAAAGAACTTGGGCTCAGCCTGTCAGCCTCACAGACAAGTTTCTCTCACGTGCCTTAGAGAGCAAGGACCATCTGACACATTCTTTGACATGGGCTGGATAGATGTGCCCACAGGGGACTGAAAAGCTTGGGCCCCTGCCCTGGGGCTTCCGTCAGCTACAGGGCACCGGCTTACTTTGCTCTATCACATGGCTTAATCTCTGCTGGTTGGCGGGAGCAACACTCCCAAAGAAAGACTCCATCCTCCTCCTCATGCCAGATGTGGCGAGTCCATCCAGTGAACACGAACCGTGTGAGCCACACCTTTAGCACACACTCTGGCCATGTGCAGGGAGAAAAAATAATAGTACCTCATTTATAAAGAAAATTGGAACGTGACATTTCACTTTGTCTGAAGTGGCCTCCCTCTTCCCCAACCCCAGGCTCCTTGAAATCGACATTTCCAGCAACAAGCTCTCCCACCTCCCGCCTGCATTCTTGCACCTTTCAAAACTTCAAAAGCTGACAGCTTCTAAAAATTACTTGGAAAAATTGTTCGAAGAAGAAAATGGTATGTTTATCATCAGTGACCTGATGTAATTGAGTCATTTTCCTGATGAGATCTTTTTTTAACCAATTCACCTTTCTTCCCCCACCCCCATCCCCAGCCACCAACTGGATCGGTCTGCGGAAGTTACAGGAACTTGACATATCTGACAATAAACTGACAGAACTCCCCGCCCTTTTCCTGCACTCTTTCAAGTCGCTCAGTTGTCTGAATGTCTCCAGAAACAACCTGAAGGTGTTTCCCGACCCCTGGGCCTGCCCTTTGGTTAGTACCCTACTAAGTCATGCAAGGCACGGTCACTCCTGGGTGTGACCGAGGGACCTGCACAGAACTCCCTCCACGAAATCTCGCACTTTTTCACCTTGGAGGCGCCACTGGGTACCAGGCTTGTGCCCCCTGGCAGCCAAGCCCTGTTGTGGGCATTGCAGCAAGGCCAGGGTGCTCAGGCAGGAGCTCACCCGGGAGCCAGCTCCGGGTCCCGTCCACAAGCTGCACAGCACAGCCGTGGAATTTTGTGCAGCGGCACCTTGTCCCGGCGCAGGATGCTGGTTCTGCCCACAGAAGGGTGGGGTCGATTCTATAGAAGAGCCATAAAATAAGAATAAGAAACAATTTGCATTCACAGCAACACCAGCTAAATGATGTTTTTGTTTCTTGGGGACGTGGCTTGTTAAAACAGATGGAGTGGGGAGCAGCAGAAAGAGTATTTGTGCTTTATTGCTGTTGGTTTTCCACCAGGAAATTCTCCATCACTCACATTATCCTTTCTAGTTTGACCACATGTGTGTGGGAAACCGGCTCCAGCGTGGCTCTGAATTGTTCCACTATTTCCAAGGACAGTGGGGCAGATGTTCTGGGATGGAGGAGGAGAACTATAATCCCTCTTTGTGTCCCCCGAAAACCCCATTCCCTTCCCTTCTTGGAACAGGGCAGGACCACAGGCCCAACAAGTTTGTAGCCTCTGAACTCACGCAGCCGCTTGTTATGTCAGAGCCCTGCTTACAGTGGTCTTATTTTTAACATCAAATTTATAGTCTTTCAGGCATGCTCGCCTTGAAAAAGCTGCTTAATATTCATTTGCTTTCTCATCAAACTCCTAGAAATGTTGTAAAGCGTCCAAAAATGCCCTGGAATCGCTGCCAGGCAAAATGTCTGTCTTCTGGAAAAATCACCTTAAGGATGTGGATTTCTCAGAAAACGCACTGAAAGAAGTTCCCTTGGGACTTTTCCAGCTTGATGTAAGTCTAAGAGCACTTCATTTGTTATGTTCAACTTTGGTGGCAGAAAGTATTCCACAACGCAGCGCAATCTGTATGCCTTTCCTAAGTTTCTTAAACAAGGGCGACGGACAAGGTCAGCTCTAAAAAATACATGTGCTCATAAGCAAAGATGGGAAGGTAGCGGATGTGATGCCTCAGGGTTTACTTCTGGGTTTCCTCTGTTGGTCTGTTTCCTATTACTGTCACAAACACCTAAGGCAACCAGCTTACTGTGAAGAAAGGTTTGTTTTGGCTTATAGTTTTGGAGTCCATAGTCAGTTGCTTTTGATCCTGTCGTGAGGTAGAACATCATGGCAGGGAGTGTGGAGCCAGTAGGCCGGAGCTGTTCACTTCATGGCCAGGCCCCAAAGAAAGAAGAGGAGGAAGGGGCAGAGTCCCGCTATGCCCTTCTATCCCCAACAACCCAATTTCCTCTTCCCAGAGGGTCCAGTACTTCCCGATGATGCCATGAGCTAGAGTCTATTCTTTGGGGCAATCCAAACTAGAGCAGAACTGTCTTAGTTACTTTTCTTGTTCCAGAGACAAAATACCCAACACTCAGTGTTAAAGGAGGTTCATTTAGCTCATAGTTTATAGAGGTTCCAGTCCATAATTGGCTGGCCCCAAGGCAGGGTGGTATGGAGAGAGGGAAGGGGAGGGAGAGGGGGAAGGAAGGAGGGAAGGAAGAATGGGGGGAGAGAGAGAGAGAGAGAGAGAGAGAGAGAGAGAGAGAGAGACAGTACTCTTTCTATCCCTCGTATTGTATGCAGTCTACCTGCCCTAGGACAAGTGTAGTACTCCTACCCTTAATCCCAGCATTGGACCATGAATCAATCATAAACTCTAGATTCAGCATGTGACAGGGACAAGTCACTACTAATGACAACTCTTGGGACTTCAGAACTCTTGGAAGTGCTTGGACTCCTTTCATTGTGCAATTGTTCCTCCTAGACCTGGAGGGAAGTTCTTCTGTAGACACCTTATTCCATCTGCTCTGATGAAATCTGTGTGTGTGTGTGTGTGTGTGTGTGTATGCGTGTACAGTAAAAGGATTGAACCCAGGGCCTTTGTACTGAGCCATAGCCCCCATCCTTTTCTTATAGGTTTCTTTCTTTTGTTTTTGTTTTTGTTTTGTTTTGTTTGTATTTTAGGACAGGGTCCACAGGAGCTCACTACGCAGATCAGACTCACAGTGATCCACCTGTGTTCAGCCTCCCAAGAGCTGGGGTTACAGATGCGCACCACCACCAGGCCCAGTCTCAGTGCGCCCTGGGGCGGGACCCTCATGGCACACGGGGGATCGAACCCCCGCCAATGCACTCTGCCTAAGCAGGCACTTTAGTCTGCTGAGCTATTTGGCCAGCCCTCTTTTCTTATAGTTTTTATTCAGAGATAGGTTCTCACTCCGACCCTAAACTGTCCAGGCCCCCCACAACTGGCACCCCTGTAACATGGAATGTGCTACAGCTGTTCGGCCACACTCTGGGAAGCAGCTCACTGACTTTCTCCTCAGTCTTGCCTCCATCGCTGCACCTGACGCCACCTTTTCCTCTCTCCCTCTCTCCCAGACCCTCATGTTCTTGAGGGTGCAGGGGAACCAGCTCATGGCCCTGCCTCCGCAGGAGAAGTGGACCTGCAGACAGCTCAAAACCCTAGACCTCTCCAGGAACCAATTTGGCAAGTAAGCAGGGGTGGGTGTCCCTAAGTGTGTGTGTGGCCCCAGGAGACAGGCCCTGGGGAAGTGCCAGTGCCCGTGCCAGGAGTGCAGTGCCACAGCTGGGGCTTCCACAGCAGCACTAACTGCTTACCGGGCTGCAAGGGGCTGCAAGGCAAAGGCCAAGGTGTCGGCGGGCCTGGTTTCTCCTGTGACGTCTTGCCATGGCTTAGATTCACCGTCTTCTCCATGCGTCTCCCAGAGTCCTCCTCTGCGTGGGCCAGTGGCCGAATGTCTTCTTTCAAGGACACCAGTCACACTGGATTAGGGCCTACTCAAATGAACCCATCTTAACACCATCACCCCTTAAAGATCCTCCTACTGTGCAGGTCGGGTAGCCTGCCTCTGAAATGCTAGGTATCAGGAGCATTCTGCATTGGGAAAATTTGCATTCACATTATGAGACATCTTGGGGAAGGGACCCCAGTGTAACACAGATGCATTTGTGTTTGTTATGCACCGCAGCGACAGATCCTGAAGGTTACTGTACTCAGTGCATGCAGCGGGCCTGCATTCTGACTGTGACCGGAGACATGAGGGCAGGGGTAGAACTGCCAGAATGAGGGTTTCCCAGCAGCGTGGATCTCAGACTTGTGCATTAGGGATGCCCAGCTTTCAGCTCCAGATACAGTCGTGCTCTGAGAGCCTGCAGGGTTAGGACTTCAATGTGATCTTGTCTTTCACTTTCGCTGAAACTAGAATTCTGTGCAAAAGTCTTTGCCCATCCCAAGCTAGCATGAATGACTGAATGACAAGTAGGCAGGCGCCGGAGAGGAGTGCCTTCCGGGAAAGGGTGGACCCTGGCCCAGTGGCCTGAGGGCGGGAAGACCAGCCGGGTGTCTACTTAGAATAAGCTTAGCAAAGCACAGGGACCGCGGTTCAATCCCCCAGCACCACATGCCAGCCAGCCCCGCCCCCTGGTGGGCTGAGCTGGCCACACACACACACACACACACACACACACACACACACATACATACATAAATAAATAAAATAAAATAAAAGACCAGCCGGGTGCATCCACAGCATCTCAGCAGAAAAGATGCCCAAGCGAGCGTCCTGAGGAGGGCACCCAGTGGAGAAGTGGTGTTGGCATGTGCTGGGCACGGAAGCCCTGGCATCTATCTGCCGCAGGGGGAATGCCCGAGAATGGAAACCAGTAGGAGCCGCGTTAGGTCATTCTTTCTAAAATGTTTACTCCCCCCCCCCCGCAGAGCCCTGGGCTCCCCGTGGCTTCCTGCAAGCTGCAGAGGTGGTCCCTTGTCTCCCCCGTGCCTCTGTATGAGGCGGTCAAGCCAGAATAAGACTCTGCGCCCTCGCAGTGCTCTTCTCCAGCGTTGATTCCTCTTTTCCCCTTGCAGGAGCGAAGATGGACTTAAAACAAAGCGCATTTCCTTTTTCACCACCAGAGGCCGCCAGCGTTCAGGGACAGAGACAGGTGTGTGCTGGTGTGGGGAGCGGGTGTGGAGAGACGGGGTCTACCAACGGGTCTGGATTCCCCCTCCAGTGCTCTGCAGCGGTGCCAGAGGTGGCCGAGGCCGGCTGACGAGCCCACACGTGAGCACTGCTCTCGCTCGTGTTGCACGTGCGCCGGGCCTGGGGCCTGCAGCCCCGGCTTCCGGTCTGGAGCGCAGGGACGCGGTGGCTGTTGCCAGCAGGGACGCGCTGACCACTTGCAAAGCTGGAGTGTGATCCTCACGGCGTGAGGCACGCGCTGCACTGCCCCATTTCAGGCTGATGGCTCGCAACTCCCATGCATGTGGCGCTGTCCTGGAGGCCCTAGAACTGCTGGTTTCTGGCCAGTCGGGGCTCTCTTCTTGTGAATGGCCACCCTTTCTCTCACTGTGTCCTCAGATGGAGGGGACACAAAGAGGCTTTAGATTCTTCTCCTCTTCTCATAAATGTGTTGATCACCCTGAGGACCCCCCTCAAAGCCTCATCTAAACCTCAAAGGCCCTGCCCCCAGATATGGCCGCGCTGGAGGTTAGGGCCCCCATTTGCACTGGAGGGAGCACGCTTCCTTCTGCAGCATGAGGCTGCCTGATGTGTCTGGGTCCCGTAGCATAACCAGGTTTCTGCCCAGGCCCTAGGGCCGGGAGACCCATGCTGTTAGTCCCTCCTGTCATGTTGTGACATCTTGCAGTGTCCACTTAGAGTCACAGCCAGGCTGGGCTCCAAAGGCCCAAGCTGGTCTGAGGTGGCAGAAAAGCCTGGCTTTTCCCTAGAGTGATAAAAGCAGAGCTTTTCCTTGAGTATTTGTCCCAACCGCCCAACAACCAATTCAGCACAGGTATTTATTAGATACATACCAACTGCACACACCGGTGGGGTGCAGCGTGACATTTCAGCACTTGGCATTTCTATCACCTCAAGTATTGGATGCTCCTCTGTGTGGAGAACAGTCCAAGCCCTCTCTGCTGGACATTTTGAAATATGCAGTGAAGGGCCAACCAAATAGCTCCGTGGATTAAAGCACCTACAAGCAGGCACAGGGGCCAGGGGTTCAATCCTTGGGCCTGCTGTGCCGGCCCAGCCCCTGGGGCATGCTGAGACGGCAATTGAGACTGGGCATGGTGGTGCGCACATGTAATTCCAGCACTTGGGAGGCTGTAAGCAGGAGAATCACTAGGAGTCTGATCTAGTAGTGAGACCCTGAACACCCTGTAGACCCTTCCCTAAAATACAGGGGGGAAAAAGACCCTGTACCAAATACATAAATTAAAAATAAATTGAAATATTCAATGAGTTGTAGCCAGCTGTAATTCTCCTGTGCTGTTGGACGTCAGACGTCACTTTTCTGTCTAGCTGCACCCCCTCCCCCCGTGTCCATAACCATCCTTTCTCCATCCTTTGCCTTTGGCAGGCTCCAGGGACCAGTGTTCTATTCTCTCTTCCTATGAGGTTGACGTTGTGGTCAAAGCTAAGACTTCCAAACCCAGCTGCATTCACAGGCTTGTCCCTCTGGATGCTGTACATTAAAATTTAGGTCGTGTTAGATGTGTTACTGTGGTCTTCTTCTTTGGCATGGTGGACTGCTGGAAAGCACAGGCAGCGTGGGACAGGGAGGAAAAATGTGGCAGAGGCCAGGACACTTTCAGGAGGTGCCTGGCCATTCCCTTGCTCTGTTTTCTGATGGGCTGCTGTGTGCGCTCATGTGGTGTGTGCGTAGATGGCTCACATGTGCCTGTGTTTGTATAGGATTGGAAAAGTAACTGCCTATCAGTGGAAGAGACAGAATCCAGAACTAAACCGAAGCAACTACAGCCAGTTGTCTGTGTCTGCAGACTCTGCACCTGCAGATCCAACCAGCCTTGGATCGACAATATTAGCAAAACAATTGCATCTGTACTGAATATGTACAGACTTTCCCGTTGTCATTGTCCCCTGACCAAACACAGTGGAACAGCTATTTGCACAGCCTGCACTGTGGATAGGGCATAAGTCATCCAACAGTCTACCTGAAGTGCATGGGAAGTTCCACACAAATACTTGGCCATTTTATGTGGGCCTTGAGCATCCATGGATTTTATGTCTTTGGGGGCTCCTCGGATACTGAGGGACAGGTGTGTAGGAATTTAACGCTATATGACAAAACTGGCATTGCAGCTTAATAGGAAAGAATGTTTTATTGTTTTGATGGTTTTGGTACAACTGAGTACCTAGCTACCAGTGGGAACATACAATATAAAATTTCCTAACAGAACATCGACCACAAAAGTTTCTGTGTGAACCAGGCATGCTAGTGCACACCTGTAATCCCAGCACTCTAGGAAGCTGAGACAGGAAGTTCTCAAATTCAAACCCAGGTTGAGCAACTCAATATAAAAAATTTAAAAGGGCAAGTATGGGCTGGCTCTAAGCACCTGCCTGGCAAGAGCAAAGACCCGGGTTCAATCCCTGGTACCAGATGCTGTGCTGGTCCCAAAACCAGGCATGGTGGCACATGCCTGTGATCTCAGCACCAGGGAGGCTGAGACTGAAGGATCTTTATAAGTCCAAGCTGCATGAGACCCTTTTTCAAAAAAAGGGGGCAGAGATAGGAATGTAGCTCAATGTGAAGATTCTGGGTTTGATCCCAGTAGCTAAAAAAAAAGTTTTCACTTAGTTAACAAGTTTAAGTGAAAAGAAAAAAAGTAACACTTAAGAAAATATATGTGTAGTCTGAGTGTGGGGAAGATCTTTTAAATAGCTAACTGGGAAATCCAGAAATATTTTTTTCAAAAAAAAAAGAGAAAAATGTTGGCTGTGTAAATATTGAAAAGTTTTAGTCAATGAAATAAATTATAAACTTATCGTGCAGAGAAGAAATATTTGCAACAGTAATTATTTCAACACAAATTGGCACAAGTCCTTAATAGACGAAGAATACTCACAAATAGATATTTTTAGAGGAAAAAGACAACCTAACAAGTTTTTTAAAATGAGCAACCAACAGGGACCGGGGTTCGATCCCTGGTCGCACGCACTGTGCTGACTCTGCCCCCCGCAGGCGCGCTGAGCTGGCGACTGAGTCCGGGCCTGATCATGCACGCCTATAATCCCAGTGCTGGAAGGCTGAAAACAGGAGGATCACTCCAAGTCCGAGCTGCGTAGTGAGACCCTGTAGACCCTATACTAAATACATAAATGGGGAAAAATAAATAAACAACAAACAATATGAACAGCTTGCAGGAAAGAAAGTCCAAACAGCCAGGAGACTGAGGAAAGGCTCTTTTCCCACATTAATAAGGAAACACAGTTACGACTTTCATAACTGGATCCTTTTTAATGAAGGGCTTTAGACTCTAGTAACTCAGTGCAGATGTAGGGATTTCTCTGGGAAGAAAGGAGAAGCAAGTACCACCTTCTCAAGTGGGGCAGTGCGCAGGGAGTTGGGGTGCATCATGGTCACACAAGCCACTTACTGGTGGATTGAGCCTGTGTGCCTGGTTGACTTTAGAACTCTGCCTCCAGCCTAGAAATGCAGCCTCTCTGCAGCATGGGGGGGGGGGGGGCTCTCCAAGGCACCAGCCACATGGCCACAAGGTCAAGCACACAGCGGAGCACAGCGGAGGAATGGGTGCCAAGGGCCTGGAACGTGGCCGTGCTTGAGCCACCCAGGAGTGGAGCTGGCAGCCAGGTGAGGAGTCTACCCTCTTGGAAGGCTCCCTAGCAGAGGAGTGCGGTGGTGTTGGCTGCTCAGTAACTTCTATTTCATCTGGAAAGATGAGACCTCCATTTAAGAAAAATGAAGGCAAGGTTGGGCGAGTGTGAGCTTGTGAATTTTTCTTAAGTGGGGTTCTCTCAGGTCTCTCGACTCTGGTGTAAAGAATTGCTTATAAAAATTTTTTAAAGGTTTCTCTATAAAAGACAACTTGTTTGCAGATGGATAGTAAAATTCTAGAGAGATTTACATAAATTCAGGTGGTCATATTTGTGTCGTGACCTTGTCCAAAAATAATTTGGATGGCCATTTTTACGGTAAAATTCAGACCAACAGAGTCATAAATAACTTATGAATAAATAACTGCAGTTCATAAATAGCCCAAGCTGTCTTCTGCTGGCCTGGTCTCCATCGTTTTCGACTCGCCGCAGGAGCGTGACAGGTGTTGCCCTCCTTGGCGCTCCAGCTGTTCCCCCCCGCTCATCCATCACTTAAAGGGACTTCATGAACACCAGGGTGAAACTTTAAAATTGGAAACCCTCAAACCAGGGGCTCAGAATTCTCCCTTTCTCTGGGAAGAAAGCAAACCTTGTGACAGATGTTCTTCATGAAAGATGTGATTTAGGGCAGGCTAACACTGATCATCCCTTTTCACTGAAGGAAGAAAGGAAACCTCTGAACGGAATCTGCCTCTGTACTGAACATGGCTAGGCTTTCCCTTCCTTGTCGTTGGCCCTAAGTAAATATTGTACAGTAGAACAATGCTCTGCCTTTGAAGGACAAGGTCGAGCACAAAGACATCTTTCAAGTCTGCTGCAAGTTTCTTTCCGCTATGGATTTGATGAGAAATGTTACTGTATATGTTATTTCTAGAGTCTATAATAAAATACTTTAAATTACAAAAAAAAAAAAAAGTTTCTTTCCGCAGGGGCACCCGCAGCAAGCCCTCCTCACACTGGCATATTTTCCAGGCATCTATCTTGATATTCCACTGTCATCTTTTCCAGAATGTTCTCCACAGCCTGGTTACTCCGTTACTGTGATACTGCCATTCCTGTGTGGAGAAAAGCCAGAGTTGACTTGAGAGAGGCGGTTATAATCAAGGGAAAACCAACATGGTTTCAGCCCACAAAAGGAACCCTGGCTTCCTTATCTCCCTCCTCTGGCATCTTCCTTCTTCGAGGAGAGCCTTTTATCTTGAGTTTCTTGAGCTGCAGGGCATGATATCTCCTTCACTCTTCCTGCCTCTGGAAGCCCTTCAGAGATTCTGCTGAAATCTAAACCTCTGATCCTGATCCTCACGAGTGTGCATTTCTAAGCTCTTAGCTTCATTGTTTCTCAACACAAATGCCCTGTGCAGTGGAAGCAGCAGATTTGACATGCTTTTCTTGGTAATCTCATAATTAGCCTAATTAAAGGAGCCATTTGAATTCTAAGTAGTCAGCCAGTGTTTCAAAGTGTCATCTTAGGCAGCATTCTTGGGCCACATCGTTGTTTATCTAATTAACTAGCTTCCTTCCTTTCAAGAAGTAACCTGTGTATATTTGAAAACAAAACTGTCAAACGGCACTGGAGGACGGGGGATGAATATACAGTCCTGTAGTCTGACCCTTGTCTGGAATAGTGACAGAATTCATGTTGCTGACAATTGTGTCTAGTATATATCTGTGCCACACGCAGGTACGCATGTGCATTGTTGCATGTGTGCATGCTGACATATGACATAACCGGATGTGGCGTGCATCTCTACAGACATGTTCTGACTTATTAATAAGCCTAGATAGGGCTGGCCAAATAGCTTAGCAGATTAAAGCACCTGCAAGCAGGCACAGGGGCCTGGGGTTCAATCTCCCAGCCTGCCGTGCTGGCCCCAACCCCTGGGCGCACTGATGTGGCAATTGAGACTGGGCGTGGTGGTGCACGCCTGTAATCCCAGCTGTTGGGAGGCTGTAAACAGGTGGATCACTATGAGTCTGATCTAGTAGTGAGACCCTGAACAACCTGTAGACCCTTCCAAAAAAAAAAAAAAAAGAAAAAGAAAAAGCCTAGAAATCTGATTTGATGTGTTGCTTTTCCAATTCATCATTAGCTCTTGAGCATCCCCTTATGCTCACTGTGTAACCATCCCATGCTTTGGAAAAATGACCTATTACGCTGTTACTGAGCTGACCCCTTGTGGACACACAGTTATCCTCTCTTTGCTGTTGCAAGGCCACCAAGTGTCCTTCTTGTCCCGTCTTTGCCTCACAGGCACGCAAGGTGTCTGTAGAATCAGACCCCCAGGTCAGCGAGAAGAGCACTGTGTTCTGACCCAAAGGCCAGAGCGCCTCATGGAGGCTGCACCCACACGTGCATCCCCTTGATCTCCACATGTGATGCTCTGAACTTATTTAAAACTATGCCGTCTGCTCTGCTATGTCTTCGCAGGGTGCGTGCTGGAGTTCCCGACCTTCCTGAGTGAGTCTTTGGAAGTCCTATGTCTGAACGGGAACCACCTGGATGCAGTCCCACCCTCGGTTTGCCTGCTGAAGAGCTTATCAGAGCTCTATCTGGGGAAGTAAGTCCCAGCAAGAGCAAGGGTCTGGCCCTGCATGCCCCAGGAAGCAGGGGTCCTCCCTTCAGTCACCAGGGGACACGGGAGCCAGGAAGGAAGAAGCCATGCACTTTTTCTAGAGCCGGGAGTAAGATTTTCAGACTTGAGAATGGTGCAGGAGGTCGCAGAGGGGAAGATGCAGCCACGCCTGCTCTCCTCCTTCACTCAGGGTGCAAGAGAGGACCAGGCATCCTTCAGCCTTCTCTTTACAGAGCACCCACTGCGTGTCAGAGTCTTCAGGGGTTGTAGGCACTGGGCAAACTAGATGAAAATATAAACTGTTACGTTTATCTGTTCTTATGGTACTGGGGATTGAACACAGGACCTTGGCACTGAGCTACATTCCTGACCCTTTTTTATTTCAAGACAGGGTCTCACTAGATTGCTAAATTGCCCGGGCTAATGTCAACCATGTGATCCTCCTGCCTCAGCCTCCCAGGGTACCGGGATCACAGGCGTGCACTGCCAAGCCCAACTTTATGTTCGTCTTAAAGGCATCTTGCCTTTTCATGAGGAGGCAGTGGTCATCTTGATAGTAGGGTAACTAGTAAGAGATAAGGAAATTTGGGGAGGGGACTCAATTCTAAGCCACGGAGACTTGCAAGACAGAACTGTCCTTTGTGCCTCTGACTGTCCAGGGAGCAAGGCTTTGGGCGCAGTGTTTAAATGAGACCGTTGAAGTCAGGGTCCAAGGTGTGGGGCTGGGGTGGAAGCGAGTAGTAGGCCTTGCAGTTCACGGAGGCTGATGGCAGCTGTGTGCGTGCGTGCGTGCGTGCGTGTGTGTGCGTGTGTGTGCGCGCGCATGCGTGTGTGCACCCTAGCAACCCCGGCCTCCGAGAGCTCCCTCCTGAGCTGGGGCAACTGAGCAACCTGTGGCAGCTGGATGTGGAAGACCTGAGCATCAGCAACGTGCCTGCAGAGGTCAGGAAGGAAGGTAGGGCTCCTGCGCCCCGGCCTTGCGGGCCACCTCCTCCGCACGTAGCTGGATTCACCTGCCAGGCTCTGGGGGCGGGAGCAGGGGGTGACCGCGCACGCGGCTCCAGCTTCAGGGCTTGGGACGTGGCTGTGAAGCTGTCCCCAGAACAGTAGTTACTGAGGTGGTAAGACTACCTGTCTTGATTACCTGGGGCCAGTTGGGTCTTGGCCTCCCTACGCCAGATCCGGGCGTCGTCCTTGGCTGCCCGCTTAGGGCACATGGGGGCACCCTTGCAGCAGGGGCGGGCACATCCTAAGAGACGTGCGCATGCTGCGCGGTGTCCCTTGCGCCGGCACCCACTCAGCCCCGTGCGATCCACGCAGGGCCCAAAGCGATGCTGTCCTTCCTGCGTGCTCAGCTGCGGAGGGCGGAAAGGTGCAAAGTGATGAAGATGATTGTCGTGGGGCCGCCTCGCCAGGGCAAGTCCACCCTCCTGGAGATCTTGCAGACGGGCAGGGCCCCCCAGGGGGCGCACGGCGAGGCCACCATCAGGACAACCAAGTGGGAGCTCCAGAGGCCGGCAGGCTCCAAGGCCAAGGTCAAGGATGGTCAGCGCGCAGAAGCCCTGGTGGGAGGGGCTTCTTGGGGGCCCCTTGCCCTCTTCCCTGGAAAGACCAGGGTTTTCTCAGCCTAGTGTCCAAGGTCCAGGACATCTGTGGGGGCCACTGTGTGCTCTGTGTTGTTCCAGCCCAGCTCCTGCCAAGGACAGCAAATCAACTCTTTATGTGACCTTGTAGTTTTTCTATGGTAATTAAGCTGAGGCTCTGAGCCAGGGAATCTTAACCCTAGCTTTCCATTAGATTCCCTTGGGTGGCTTCAGAGGACTGCAGTGCTTAGACCTTACCACTCCCTGGCCCCAAGGACTCCGAGACAAATGGCCCGGGTGCTCCCCGCTACCAAGGCTGAGAGCGAAGTGTGCCCCCAGAATCTATCTGTCCCCTCGCAAGAAGTCTGAGAAGCCACTGCTGGATTACTGCACTGCCCTCCCTGATTTTGCCTTCACCCCTGAGTCCCAAAACTCCACACATCACTCCCTCTTCCACTTAATACCAGGCAAATGGAAACAGGCATCTTCTCGCTCTTTATGCAGAATGAGTCTGGACTATGGGGTCTCCACGCTCGGGGGCAGCATGGGGTGGTCAGGAACATGCCACAGACGGTGCCATCCTTGTCTGCCCCATTTGTGTTTCCACTGCCTGTGGTGACTGTGCACTCCAACATCCCAGAGTCAGAAACCGGTCCTCTTCTAGGCAACCTTTTTTTTTTTTTTTTTTTTTTTTGCGGAACTAGGGATTGAACTCAGGCCCTTGTGCTTGCCAGGGAAGCACTTATTCCACTGAGCCATCTCCCTGACCCTGAAACCCGTCCTCTTCTAATGTGGGCCTTGGGGCTAGGGGAGCCACTGAGCAGTAGAGCAGGGGCTTAGCTGTTCAAGGCTCTGAGCTATCGACAACCTCGCAACAAAAAAACCAACAAGCAAAATGGAGTCCTGAGTGTTGCAGGCAGGGCAATTAAATAAGTAACGCCAGGCCCACCCAGAGCACCCCAGCGGGACGCTAGCTGACTCATGTCCACGGTTCCCTGCATAGCCGGCTTCCTCTGCACACGCTCAGGCTTTGCCTTTTTGACAGCCACCCAGCCTCATTTTCTTCCAGCTGTTTTCTAAGGCATGGTTATCGAAGGTCTGGTGGTTGAAATCCCATTTCTGTTTTTCCTGCGCACTTCCCGCCCACCACCAGTAAATCCCCCTCCCATCACCGAGGGCCGGCTGGCCCATCTTGGGGCTGCTGAGCCTGCAGCCCTCTGTGTGGCTGACCTTTCACTGGTGCAGCACAGCTGTCTGCTTTCATCTTTACACCAAACGGGGTCAGCTCGCTGTCTGTGTCGTGGAGGCCCCAGCGCTGCATCGTGGAAATGGCTCCTCCTCACTCCTCACTCCCGCCAGCTGCAGCCTCACTGTCTCGGGCCAGCTGTGACCTCATCCCGTGATAGAAAAACCACCGTTTATACAGCCCTCCCAGCAGCGCAGCAGTTCTTCTGCTATTTGCTTCCCATGTCGAGGGAGTTTCCCATCCTCCTTGGTGGGCGCAGCCCTCTGACCTCCATAAGTTTGGAGGCGCCACCTCAGTCCTGCCTGGGCAGAGAAAGTTAATCTTGGTGGAGCCATGGCACTGGAGCAGGGTGACCACACGCAGTGCTTTTCAGGGTCCCTAAGCCCTGTCGCGTGAGCTGGTTAGCAGGACGTAGGACCCTCCCGCAAGCCCACTCTTATGCCACAGGGCCTCTATCTCTTGCTGGGTCGCAGAGCCCCAGGGGACGCACGAGGCTGTTCCTTGGTTTTCCAAGGCCATGTCTGGACTGCCCCTGGCTTTTCTGAGGCCGCGTCGTCTCCCTTGAATCCTGAGCACAGCACAGTTTGGTTATTTTTCTCAGCCTGGTCTACTAAAAGCTTGATTGCTGAAATGCCTCCCTGTCCTGCTTGCTGCTCAAGTAGGTTGAGTCTGTGGAATTCAACGTGTGGGACATCGGGGGCCCTGCCAGCATGGCCACTGTCAACCAGTGCTTCTTCACGGACAAGGCCTTGTACGTGGTGGTCTGGAACCTGGCGCTGGGGGAGGAGGCCGTGGCCAGCCTGCAGTTCTGGCTGCTCAACATCGAGGTGAGAGGTGCTGGCCCGTCCCTTCCATCACAGGGGGTCCCGGCACTGCTCTGAGAGCCCCCTGAACCGAGGAGAAAGGCCTGTGTTGTGGAGAAACGCTATGTGTTTTGAGGGCTTTTCTCAGAGCAGCCCAGAAAGTCCTGCCTGACTCTCAGCACAGGGCTGTCCAACTCCTTTCAAGATTGAGGACTGGGGCATCTTTGAACCATTCTTATGTATTTTAAATTTAAGGATCTCTCTCTCTCTCTCTCTCTCTCTCTCTCTCTCTGTCTCTCTCTCTCTCACACACACACACACACACACACACACACACACGATGCAGAAGAGGATGTTGTAAGCCTCTGGTCTCAGATTGGCCTGGAATTCCTGAAGATTCAGACACCTTCCCTGTGGCTGAACTCAGTAACCCTGCATGAAAGAAGCTGTGGGGAGCCGACTGTTGAGGGGGCAGGCTGTGGGATGGTGACTGAGATGGCCACTAGCCTCCAACCTGGCACCCCGCGCCCTGGTCAGCTGTTTCCTGTCCTTTGTGCAGGGGGGAGGACAGGGCTCAGCTGTGCGTTTTCTGTCACAGGCCAAGGCCCCCAACGCTGTGGTGCTGGTGGTCGGAACACACCTGGACCTAATCGAAGCCAAATTCCGAGTGGAGAGAATCGCGACTCTGCGCGCCTACGTGCTGGCGCTGTGCCGCTCACCCTCAGGGTCCAGAGCCACCGGCTTCCCAGACATCACCTTCAAACACTTACAGTGAGTCCCCTCGTACACCATTGAGGCGGGACAGGACCTGGAGATGCAGTCTGTGTCCTTCCCCTCTGGGTACCCTCCCAACACCATGGCTGGTGCCATGGGACTAAGAGCTGTGCGCTCATGCACTGTCACCCCACTAGTTTATTGAGGACAGACCCTGGGGGGTCACCTTGAGACTGGGGGTTCCTGTAGCTGTTGAGGGTGGGAGGGGATTGTTTAGGGAGAGAGCTGCAGAGTGAGGAGAGATGAGCCCCTCACCAGGGCACAGCCACCCTGAGCTTGTCAGCCCACTCACTTTCTGTCTGTGGAATCTCACCACAGCATGCTGTTTATAGGGGCTTTGATGCCCATTTTACAGACAGTGAAACTGAGGCTCTGTGAATTAAGCATGGAGTCTCCTTATGAGAATACAGAGGACATTGCTGTAGCACAGATGTACTGGTGGTTCTCATGGTCCCTTCTCTGGATATAGTCCCCTGAAGCCCACTATATGGAGCAGCCTGGGACCTGTCAGCCTGGCTCAGCATGCAGGAGCAGGCTCATGTGTCCCTGGTATGGTCTGAGGATACCTGGAGTCTGTGGTCATAGCATTGTCTCTGGCTCTGAGCACTGGGCCAGCCTGAGTCTACAGCTTCCTAGCTGGTATCCTTGGGGGTCACCTTGAATCTCTGTTTCACTTTCCTCCTCCATAAAATGGCCTTGTTGGGGAGACAGACCAAAGTGACATATCATGGAGCACCCAGCACAAGACTTCATCCATGAGTTCTCCAGACTTCCTAGGGTTAAGGACAAACCTCTGGGGAAAACAAGAGCCACAGGCCTCTGCAAAGTGCGACTAAGCTCCCATCTTTCTGCACATGCAGTGAGATCTCCTGCAAGAGCTTGGAAGGCCAGGAGGGCCTGCGGCAGCTGATCTTCCACGTCACATGCAACATGAAGGACGTGGGCAGCACCATCGGCTGCCAGAAGCTGGCGGGGAGGCTGGTGCGTGTCCCAAGAAGCCTGCTTCCTGCGCTTGGGAGCCACTCACCCCCTCGCTGTGCTGAGAAACATGTGTCTGTGCCTAAGGGTCTAAGGGTCAGAAGTTCCACACGGGGCTGGTGAGGAGCGGAGGGATGGACGGGGAGACAGAGGCTGCTCAGGCTCAGACCAGGGGCAGGACACACTTGTCTTAGCTGGCGCTGGGCCTGGCACCTGAGAGTTTCTCCCACGGCCACCTGTCCCTAGATCCCCAGGAGCTACCTGAGCCTGCAGGAGGCTGTGCTGGCGGAGCAGCAGCGCCGAAGCCAGGGAGACGACGTGCAGTATCTGACAGACAGGCAGCTGGAGCAGCTGGTGGGGCAAACACCTGACAACGACATCACAGACTACGAGGACCTGCAGTCAGGTGGGCCTGGGGAGGGTACTCGAGGGCACCTGTGTGGGCAACCCTGAAAGGCTGCACAGAAAGCCAGGGAAGGTGGGATGAGGCCACCCATGAGAATTGGAGCCTTCTACCCTTGAGGGCGATGGCCTGATCCTCAGCATGTGGGGTGATGGGTTCGAGGGAGAGCCCAGGTCCCGGCCTGTGCTCTGCCTTCTTTACTCCTGCCCTTGGTTTGGTTTCTCATTCCTGCCATCATCACAGCCTGTCCTTTCCCTGGGCAGAGAGTGCACCTGGCATCTGGGGCAGCATCCGAGTGGGCACTGAGCTGAGATGGCTGGGGCTGAGCATCCATGAGGGGAGACAGAGGCCAAACCACTACAACCACCCTCATTACTCCCGGAAGCTGTGTTTGACACAAGGGTCACAGCCACTGGATTAATGAATGGTGAACTACTGCGGAGATGCAGGGTCAGGTTTCTTTGAACCTCTGCACGCAGCAGTTTCATCAGCTAATCAATACTAATCTCATACCATGCATATAAACACAGGCCTCCTCTTTCTCTCCCTTCTTCTCCTCCTCTTCCTCCTCCTCTGCCTCCTCCGCCTCCTCCCCTCCTCCCTTTCTTTTGTAATACTGAGGGGTGAAACCACAGCCTCTGCCCTGAGCTATGTCCCCACTCCTTTTGATTTCAGACAGGATCTTGCTAAGTCACGAAGTTGCCCAGGCTGGTCCCAGGCTTGGTCCCCTCCTGGCCCAGCCTCCCGCAGTGCTGGGAGGCTAAGTGTGCACCAGTGTGCTAGGCTGCCCCGCTGTTCCAGGGTGCCTTATGTGGCATATGTGGTTGGCTCGTTAACACAGACCTTGTGGCCGACAGCACCTGTAATTGGTGCCTGAACAGTGTTTATGGAATCCAAGAGTTGTCTCCGCAAGGCACACCAGCACTGTGCGCAAGAGTCATTTGAAATAGGAAAATCACTCATTTTTTGAACTTAACATTTTTTTTTAAATATGGCACCATATGAATCACGAAGGAGACGTTGTTCTCAGGGAGAGAGCTGGAGGGAGGAGGTGGAGCGCTGCCTCGTTCAATCTCTGGCAGGCGAGTCGGGGCCTTGGAAGCCCTGTGCACAGCCACCCATGACCTATGTAGGCCTCAGTGTTGTATTTTAGGGCCATGAGTCAATTCGGGCACATAGAGCTTTTGCAAAGATGGAATTCTAGAAGAAAGGGTATCACCTGGGCTGGCCACGACCCTTAGGCCCAGGGTGTTGGCAAGAGTCCAGGGTCCCCTGGGGAGCTTCAGCTTGGGCTGCCTGCCCACCTGAAGGGCCCAGCGTGCACCAGTTCCTTCCTAGGAAGTGTCAGCTACTGGACCTCCTTGGGAACAGGGTCGCCACAGAGTCCCTTTGGCCCCCCACTAACGCTGCTCCTCTCTGGCCCCGGCAGCCATCAACTTCCTCATAGAAACGGGCTCACTCCTGCACTTTCCCGACACCAGCCGCGGGCTGAGGAACCTCTACTTCCTCGACCCCATTTGGCTGTCCGAGTGTCTGCAGAGGATCTTCAACATCAAAGGCTCCCGCTCGGTGGCCAAGAACGGGGTGATCCGCGCAGAGGACCTCAGGATGCTGCTGGTGGGGACGGGCTTCACGCAGCAGACTGAGGAGCAGTACTTCCAGTTCCTGGCCAAGTTTGAGATCGCCCTACCCGTCGCCAATGACAGGTGACGCCACAGCCCAGCAGGGCGGGTGGCCTCTGGAAGAAGGCCCCTTCTCCCTTTCCTTCCTTCTCAGCAGGCGGGTCCCTGGTCGCTGCACAGTCTGGGTGATACACCCCTAGACCAGCTCAGCACTCGAGACCTCCTCATTTGTTTCACCCACTGGCTGGGCTTGGCGCTGATGTTGGCCAGGAGGCAGCAGCCTCATCCCAAATCCACAGGCCACTGTTATGTATTTTCCTAGGCCCCACAGCCTCCCTGCTTCCTGGCTCCAGAGCCCCTCAGTGCCCACTGGAAGTCCTGGGCCACTGGCCTGGGCCTTGTGTGGCCAGTCCAGAGGCTTTGTTGGCGTAGACAGCCTCCTGGCCTGAGCCTGTCTGAGGCTCCACTCACCCCTAACCCGGCTTCATGGGGGCCGTGAGCTGGGTCCTAAAAGGAGAGTCCACAGAGGGGAATTCAACACCCCCATCCCTTCACCCCATGCCACGGGTGTTGTCCTTGGCGTTGGTCCATTAAAAAAAGTTCAGGATTAGGGAGCCTGGGAGTTTACAAAACCAAGATCTGAGAGCTTTCTGGTTGTTTTTTCAGTGGATTAGAGAAAGAGGCTGGCATTCAGTAAAGGAAACCAGTTGTCTAGATCCTGAAGGCGGAAAACTGATGCATCTGTATCTGCCTTTTTGTCTATGTGTTTTGTTGGGTGATAAGATCAGCCAGCACATTGCCAGGGCTCGAGGAGGCTCACTGTGCAGTGGGTGAGAACAGGCCAGCCTGCCCGGGTCTGTCCTTCTCCATAAAGTGGTGAAGACATTGCCCCCAGCTAGTACTGCAGCTGTTGTGAGGATTACCGTAGGTAGTAACCTAAGGTACTTAGAACTGTGTCTCCCACCCCTCAGCGCTGCCCAGGCATCTGATGTCTCAGTACGCACAGCCAGAGTGCCTGGTTCCACACAACGACCAACACTGTCCATCCCGGCACAGGCATGGTGGCCCCCTCGGGCCTAGACACGTTCCAGCTGCTTGGGCCGTAAGCTCCTGGAAGGTCCACACTACGATCCCTGCAGCGATGCAGTCAGACATACAGGCTGCACCTTTGGAGCTGGGTCCTCCATTACAGTCTGCCAGCCCGCTAGTCCCTTGGGCAGCGTTGGGGCTTGGTGCACCTCCTGAGAGAGAGGTTTGCCTTGGAGGGTTTGCACTTCTAGACAACAGTTGCGAATCCCCTGGGCAAGGCCCAGAGAGCCACAGCTGATTCGTCTCAGCAGGTGGCATGAGCCTGTCCGGCTCCCGAGGACAGACACTGGGCCCTGCCTGGAGTATGAGTGATTCTTGCTCATCAAGTCCGAATACTTCACCTCTGCAGCCTGATCCTGCTCGCTCTCTGTTCACCCGGCACAGCCCTTCACAAGTCCTAAATGCTCTCTGACAAGCAGTGTCTCCGCGGGAATGCTGCCCCCTTTGGGCTCGGGCTCCTGTGGCCACTCAGATCTGTAATCTTCCAGGCCAGCTTCTAAACCCTCTCTGCCTTCAGAAATCTCACTAGGCAGCTGCTCTGTGTGCACGCTGTGCTGTGAGCAGGGCACCGGGTGGGTTCCTTCCCGTTGCCAGGCATGCACCAACAAGGCACCCCAAAGGCAGGAAGCCACGCCCACCGGGCACAGCTAGAGTAAGCGATTGTGTGAAGCTGGCATGATACGGGTGGCTGGAGTAACAGGACATGGCGGTAGACTCTGGCCAGGGTGTCCTATTTGAGAGATACAGACTGAATAGATAGATAAACAAGGCATTTTCAGCATTGAGGAAATAAGACAGATGCTAGGGCGGAGAGGCAGGGGTGAAGAAAGTACCACCTAGCCCAGTGGTCAGCAGTGTCTTTTCACCTGAGACCTGAAATAACAGAAAGGAACCTCAGGGCTGCCCATCTGTGTGCCCTGGATCACCGCAGCCCGTCCATCCCCACCAGCCTGGCAGGGATGCCTTCCCTTCCTGAGTGTGCTCAAGACACAGAGGGAGGCATTTGTACCTCTATAATCAGGCTTCTGGGCTGTCATGGGGTGTCCTTGTACAGTTGTCCCTCAGTAGCAATAGGGGTAGGTCCCAAGACCCCAGGAGCATACCAGCATCCACCGATGTTCAAGTCTCTCTCATAAAATGCCATCGTATTTGTGCTAATGCATGTGAGGAAACGCCCAGAGATTGAGGCTGCAGGAAAGAGTAAATTTAATTGCATCTGCATACAGGCAGCTGAAAGCAGAATGACATCAGCAAATATCTGGAGGGGAGGCGATGTATATACAGGGCTTGGGGCTGGGGGTCATAGTCTCAAAGAATCTGGACAGAATGCTTGAGGTCAGAGATGCAAGGGTGACCAGCCCGGGTATGCATATAAAGCTTAGTCTTCAGGAAGACTGTGTGGGTCCAGCCCTAAATTTCTTTATGGCTACAAATTCTTATTTACTGAGGGCAGCCTGGGCTGTTGTTGTTTGTAGGAGGCAGCAAGATCTCTCTGGGGTCAGGCCTGACAATTTGCCTAGAATCTTTACGAGGTCCATGCACCCCACCACCTTTAGGTGCCGCAGAGCACCTCACACAGTGTGTATGCCGTGTAAGACAGTACTGATTAGGAAGTGATGGGAAGGAGAAATCTGAACAGGTCCAGTACAGACAGAGTGTATTAAAATGTTTTCAACCTGAAGTGGTTTGAACCCCCAGCTGTTCATAGATATAAAGGGCCAACTGTGGAAGATTTGAGGGAGTCCTTTCCAGAAAGTTCTAGAGACATTTATTGGACTGAAATGTATTTGTCTTAAGAGGGTGAGGAGAGCTGAAGGTAAGATTTTTGTTAGAGTCCAGCTCTGCATATCAGGGGGCTGCCCCTGCCTGTGCCCACCCTATACCCCCCACACTTCCCAGCACATAGAGGAGGCACACGCTTGGAAGGACCTCCCAAGTTTCAGCTGCTTGGAAAGAACCACAGATGTGGATGCCTTGGTCCCACGTGACACAGCGTTTTTATGATGACCACAAGTGTACTCATAAAATGTCCTTCTTGTGCACAAAACAGCTGCCTTCTAACTTTTAAGGCATTGCGTCATCTCAGTTGGCCAAAACTATAAACAACTCCCAAGGCCCCCCAAAAGTTATCCCGACCCCGATGTCTGTGTTGTCCTTAGCACGGTGCAGCTGTACTTGGTTTCCCTTCACCAACCGAAGTCAGTGTTAAGTGAGGCCCCACCCGCAGCCGAGTCTGCCCAGAATCGACTCCAGCTTGCTGTGTCTGGCATTTTTACGACCACAGATGTCCTTACGTCTTCGCCGCACCTCATCCAAGTCTCTCTCTTGGAAACCTCGCTAAATATCTTCACTGTGCCCGTCTTTGCTTTTTCCTTTAGAGCACTTATTCTCAGCATATAAATCACCCTCTTGTTTGAAACCAGGACCCCAAAGGCTCTGTTAGAAAGGTGCTGTGGCAGCCCAAGCCCTGGGGGGATGGCCCTACCACTAGGACAGCCATCTGAGGAACCTAGGCCACACTAGTCACCAGTCCACTTGATGTGTTTCAGCTACCTCCTGCCACACCTCCTTCCATCCAAGCCTGGCCTGGACACTCATGGCATGAGGCACCCTACAGCCAACACCATCCAGCGGGTGTTTAAAATGAGCTTCGTGCCCGTTGGCTTCTGGCAAAGGTTCATAGCACGGATGCTGATCAGCTTGGCCGAAATGGATCTGCAGGTAGCTGGGGGCTCTGCACAGGGACGCATGCTGACAGGCGCCTGCAGCCATAGGGAGGGACATGCTGTTTTTGTTAGTGGGAGCTGATTGAATTCCCTACTGCCAGGCTGGTGACTTGGGGCCCGGAGGCAAGCTTGGCTCAGATCCCTGCACCGTCCTGTGAACACCACCTCAGTCACACTTGGCTGAGGCACAGCAGTGTTTCTAGAGGACTGGCTGCCCCAGGCCCCCTGGAGGGCTCGCTCTGACAGGCAAGGAGCACACATGCTGGGCCCGCCTCTAGCGGTTCTGACTCCTGCAGGACCAAGGCCAGGAAGGGGCATTTCCAACCATTCAGCACTGGCCCCTGGCCTTGGAATCTGACCTTGCTATCCTGGCTGCATTAGGCGACACAGACCTCCTAGCCCACTGAAACCAGAATCTCAGGGGTGTGTGTGTGTGTGTGTGTGTGTGTGTGTGTGTGTGTGTGTCCTAGGGATTGAATGTAGAGTCTTTTTTTAAAAAAATCTTTTATTTATGTATTTATTTGGTACAGGGTCTCACTATGCAGCTCAGACTCAAAGTGATTCTCCTGTCTCAGCCTCCCCAGTGCTGGTATTTCATGGGTGCACCACCATGCCCAGTTTCAGCGACTGGCACGGCACAGCTGGTGTTCCAGGGCTGGCAAGGCATGTGGTACCGGGGATTGAACCTGAGTCCTTGTGCTTGCCAGGCAGGTGCTTAAACTACCAAGCTATCTCCCTAACCCCTAAACACAGGGTCGTTGTACTGAACTATAACTCTCAACCTTTTTTTTTTTAATTTTTAAAACAGAGGCTCACTAACTCTCTAGGGCTGGACTCTAACTTGCTGACCCTTCTATGCCAGCCTTCTAGAATGCTGAGATTATAGACATGTTCCACCGGAGCCTGCAGTGGCTCCGCCCCGCAGTGGCGCATTATCCCACTGGGGTAATGAAGAACCAGCGCAAAGCACTGTCTTGCAGCACTGTCTTGCGGGTTACGGAGAGGAGGCCTGAGTAGGCCACATTAACTTCACGTAAGAGAACGCATGGAAGTAACAGTTACCAAGGACAGTGGTTCTCAGAGTGGGTTCAGAGGCCAACAGAATAGCATGAGAACTTCTGAGGTATTCAGATTCTCAGGTCCCAATACAAAGCTCAGAAACTCCAGGGTAGAGCCCTACAGTCTGCTTCTGATGAGCACTCTGGGGGACTGATGCACTCTATAGTTTCTTCATGGCAGAAACCCTGGTCCTGTATCCTTTTGACACTGACTTCTGTGTGAGTTTCCTTTTGGCATTTTAATTAGAGCACCTTATTAAATTATAACTTCGTGGTGCAATAAAGATGCTCTTTGATCTTTCCATCTTATTAAAATGGGAGCAACAGTGAAAGCAAGAGCTTGGAAATTGAGCAGAGTTGCAGCCTGCGTTAGCAGGCAGCTTTGTGCATGAGGCTGGGAGTTCGCTCCAGCTGAAAGGGTGGGTGCCCGGTGGGGTCTGCACGGCTCTCTGCCCTCTGTTTGAACTCTGTCCTGCCAAGCTCTGGGGGAGGCGGGTCAGGAAACACACAAGTGAGACCCAGCTGGGCACAGGGGCAGCCGTCCTTGTCAGCAGCAGCAGGCCTTGCAAAGAATTCTATTGAAATTCAGACTGGTGACAGCCAACAGGGTTTGGTCTCATCAGTAATCACAGGCATCCAGATTCACACAGCAGAGATGCCACTTGGTGCCTGCAGAATTAGCAAAGAGCTAATTAGCAAAGAGCTAACCTGCATCGCCTGACCCAGAGAGGGACATTTGCGGTCACCTTGTAGGACCGTCTCATTTCAAAAGCCAGGTCCTCTGTGTGCATCCAGAGCCTTGCAGCAGGCAGACCCTTTCATCTGTCATCCCACTGCTGACTTTCTGAGTGAAGGCCACCTCTTGAAACCAAGGAAATCTCTGCATTGTGCAGATTCATTATAGCACATCTGAAAGAGCAAAAAGGTTGGAATCAACCTAAATGTGCAATAGAAGGGAATTGTTTGAGAAATTAATACACTTCTTAGCTTTAGAAAACTGAATTTTAAGTGAGTTTTTAATTCTGTAAGAAATGGTGTTTTTTGAAGTGTGCTTTGTGTGTGTGTGTGTGTGTGTGTGTGTGTGTGTGGTGGTATTGGAATTGAACCAAATGCCTTCAGCACAGCAGTCAAGATCTGCCCCTGAGCTACATCCTCAGCCCAAAAGTATACAAAGTTAGGGATTTAATATGGACTCAGGTGCTTTTTAAACATATATGTAGATAGGAAAAAGCCTAGGATTGCAGATACCAGCATCTCAATGATCTCTCTGGTTAGTGTTTCACTGGTACTGCATTTTCTCCCTTACATCTTTGTCTTGCCACATTGCTTGTGAAGTCAGGAAATGAAAGTTTTTCTTAAGGAAAGCCTATTTCCAACTGCTTGGAAAAATCGGTTCCCAGGGTACCCTGGAGACCCCTCCCAGCCATGTAGCGGGAACTTGGCAGCGGGTGTGCCGCGGGCGTGGGAGGAGGCGGTGGGGCCTGTGGTGATTTATCAAGACGGGGCCCCGCCAGCCGCTAGCGCTCCACGCAGGGCTAGCACAGAGCCGGAATGCTCAAGCAGGGTCTTTTCTCTCTGTCTTTCAGCTTTTTGAAAACAAGAAGAATACTAAAAGCAGAAACAGGAAAGTCACCATTTACAGCTTTACAGGAAACCAGAGAAACCGCTGCAGCACATTCAGAGTGAAAAGAAATCAGACCATCTACTGGCAGGAAGGGCTCCTGGTCACTTTCGATGGGGGCTACCTCAGGTGGGAGCATTGAGAAGCCCACCGCCTGGGTGGGCTGGGACCCTGTGACAGGCCCACAAGACCCCTCACTTGCTTGGGTCAGAATCCTGCTCCCAAGAGGAGCTCATAGCAGCTGCTGGCTAGAAACGCACATCCATCCCTGTCCACGTCCCCGAGCTCACGCCTGCCGCAGGACAGGAGAGGCAGGGCAGCTGTGGCAGCAGCCTTGGCACCTCCTGGTCACGGAGCTAGGGCTATCGTCAAGCCAAGGAGCCAGGCCAGTAGGGAGAGGACGCCTGAGTCCTCAGCCTGACCCCACCCCATGACCTAGCGAGATGCTCTTCTCTTCTAACTAAAGAGGAAGACACGTATATTCAGCTGAATAGACACAATGCGTGATCAACACCTAAGATCATTCACTGTCTACAGTGAACTTTTCAAAGGAATCTTTAGCTCTGTGAGAAGAAAGGGAGAGGGGAAAGTATCTTCTCAGCCTTCTGGTTTGAGCCATTCTTTGTGCCTGAAGGTTCCACAGAGATGGTCTCACTTAAAGTTAAGGTTCCACTTAATGCATGGGCACAATGTCCTGAGAGTAAAGGAGCTTCGGGGGGTCACACCTGAGGCCCAGACCCACCTGAACAGCCTTACTGTAAACTTCTGGTTATGGGGGCAAAGATGAAGCGGGACCACCAACAGGGGTACGTGAGTAGAGGAGTCCCCAAGAGCTCTGGGGACACCGACAGGGAGCTCCCCCAAGCTCTGCTCAACAGGATCCCCATGGGCCTCTTTTTGTTTCTGGGTGACAGCGTGGAGTCTTCCGATGTGAACTGGAAAAAGAAAAAGAGCGGTGGGATTAAAATCATCTGCCAATCAGAAATGAGGGACTTCTCGGCGATGGCGTTCATCACAGATCACGTGAATTCTTTGATTGATCAGTGGTTTCCCGGTAAGAGAACATGCTAGAACCACCCTCTGATCATGCTCAGATTTCTTTCCAAGTCAAGGTGGGGCTGTTTCTTTGGGGGAACAGGAATCCGTCCGCGATTCAGCCTACACAAACCAGCAGGTGGTGTCTTAGCTCTTTGATAAGAGCCCTGGTCCCCAGAGTCCAACCTGGCCGGGGAAAGCTGCGGGGAGACATGGGCTCAGCCCCCACAGGGCAGGGCTCCTGCCCAAGCATGCACATGGGAAAAGAATGGCTCCCAGTCTTGTCCATGGCCACGGACTTGCTCATGTGAGGCCGCAGTGTGGTGTGTTCACATTTCAGCAGGGCGACTGACGTTAGGGGGAGCCGGTGGGCACAGACTGCCCTGTGCAGCAGAGCAGGAAGGGAGGGGAGCACCCACTGCTGAGGGGCCCTGTTCTCCCAGCCTCCCTTGCTCGCCCCAGTGCAGCTCCACCCACCCACACAGCCCTTCTCAGACCCTTTGGATCTATTGACAGCTGCCACTTCACCCAAAGAAAATACTTCTTTGTGCCTGAAGGTTCCACAGAGATGGTCTCACTTAAAGGACATCTGCCCTCCCTCGAGGTCCTCTGTTTTGCTCCTGGGGCAGAGACAAAACCTCAGAGTGACCTGCAGTGATGAGTTTTTTTGGGAGCAGGACCAGGCAGCTGGGTGAGCCCTCCAAAGACTGGACATTGAGCCAGTGGAGAGCAGGCTGGGATCCCAACACTGTCCCCAGCTTTTTCTGAGCAGCCTCCTCGCCTATGCAAAACTGGCCTCCAAGAGAGTATCAGGGATAGCACCTACGGAAGAGGCAGCAGGCCCTCTGAATAGGCAAGATGGCAGGGCCTGGGTTCCTGTAGGGCTGGGGGCCCTTAGGTGAGGTAGGAAGGGTGATCCACAAGGAAACATGGCTGAGAAGCAGCTCTCAGAGAAAACTGCCCCTGGTGGAGGCTGTGGCAGAATGGGGCCCTTGAGCATCCAAGGGTGCCCCAGGCCCATGTCAGCCCTCCAGGTGCTGTGCAGCCCCCACCAGGTGGTGCCCATCCCCAGCAGTGCTGGGGAATTTAACAGATGAATCCACTGGGCAGACACCTGAGACAGACTCAGCAGAGCACTGGAGACCAAGTGTCCCGGAGCCAGCACCTCCAGCGCATGGCCAGCAGCCCCTCTTAGCAGGACACCTGCAGAACCAAACATACACTGGAAGTCCAGGTGTCCACCTCCTCCTGCCCAAGGCAGGTCATTGCCCGCCGTCCCAAGGGAACCCCACGGGATTCTTCAGAGGACGTTTCTTGGCACCTCCCAGTGGAGGCACACAGAAAAGTGGTCTCCTGTCAGGCATACCACGTCAGTAACACACTTTTCTCTGCTGTAATGCGTCCTCGTTAACCCTGCGTTTGTCTTCTGGATGGCATCCTGGTTAGTCGCTGTCGCCAGCCTGTGTTTCTGACTTGTAGAGCGGTGCTTTGCGCAGTAGCTGTTGAAGTGGGGCTCAGATCAAGCCATTCCCCATGCAGGCGGGATCCCGGGCCCCTCCTCGCCCCCTTCTGCCAGCCTGCCCAGGGCTGCATGGCGGTGAGACCTCCGCTCCGAGCAGCGGCCCCACCCTCTCTGCGGTGAAGCTTCCTGGATTGACAGTTGCACTCTTTGAAAAGACACTACTAGTGTGTGGCACTTGGCTTTCCTGGGGTCCAGCCAAGGACAGACACAACCCTGCACTGAAAGCCACCCACAGGGTGCTGCTCAGCTACTCCGCGTGAGCTGTCTCCTGGTCTGTCCCCTTTAGCCCTGACGGCCACTGAAAGTGATGGGACCCCCCTCATGGAGCAGTACGTGCCCTGCCCAGTCTGTGAGACGTCTTGGGTGCAACATGCTGACCCCAGTGGGAAGTCGGAGGACGTGCAGTACTTCGACATGGAGGACTGCGTGCTGACGGCCATCGAGCGTGACTTTATCTCCTGCCCCAAACACCCAGACCTCCCGGTGCCACTCCAGGAGCTGGTGCCTGAGCTGTTCATGACCGACTTCCCTGCCAGGTATGCTGCCATGGCCCCTCCTCGGGCACAGGGCAGGCCACAGGACTGTGCTTTTTTTTTTTTTTATGTATTTGGTTGTTTCAGGGTCTCACTACGCAGCTCAGACTCATAGTGATCCTCCTATTTTCAGTCTCCCCGGTGCTGGGATTACAGGCACGTGCCACTACCCCCAGACTCTGTGGCCAGCTTAGCCTGCCCTGGGGGTAGGGCTGGCATGGCGTGTGATGCCAGGGATCAAACTGTGGTACCTGTACTTGCCTAAGCTTGCCAAGCAGGCGCTCTAGTCTGCTGAGCTATCTCCCCAGCCCCCAGGACTGTGCTTCTCACTGTAGGGTTCCAGTAGGTCAGTGGGTCACTGCCTGGTGGCCCCATGTGCAGGTGACAGCAACCACCACGGTCATTGCTTGTCACCAAATCTCAGAGACTTAAGTTGCATCCTAGGCTGCCTGGAGCCATTGGTCTAGCACGTCAGAGGCCTCAGCACGGGTCTCTGCATGTGGAGCTGCAGGTGGAGCTGCAGGTGGCTCCTGCGTGTTCTTCCCCTCCCAGAAGTTCATGCTCCTTTCCACCGACTCCTGCCCCACTGCAGGTTGGAGCACAGACTGTAGCCATAGCCGTGCTCCCAGGCCTCAGAGGAAGGCAGTGTTTCCCACCTTCAGCTTCATTCTCCTTGTTTCCAAATGCCCACCCCCATCTGCCACCCTAAGGCCAAGCATTGGGATCCTCTAACTCTGTTCTTAGAGTTATTCTGCCTCAGCTTATCTTTATGATAACTGGAAAGAGAACCCTGGAGAAAACATTTTCTTGTCCCAACCCAGCAGGAAATGGCCATAAATCCAAGGCATCAGTAAAAGATACCATCATCTTTGATGAATGGGAACCCTAAAGCTATGATTTCTGTCCCCAGAGACTGTGGGCATCAGTGGTGTTGGGAGGCTGAGGCAGGAGGATTAGAAACCCAGCCTGGGCAACTCAGTGACTTAGCAAGACCATGTGTTGAAATACAACACAGGAAAGGGCTGGAGATGTGGCTCAGTGCTAAGGCCCTGGGTTCCACGCGGAGGGAAAAGGGTACACCATAATGCCTATCAATTGTACTTAACAAAAGTTAAGCTTTTTCATAAGAACGTTTGTACTGTCATATTTCTGTGTTGCTCCAAGTAGGTGTGGAGACAATGTAAGTTCAGTGCATTGGGGTTCCATGGAATGCTTCTGGATGAATCTATTAAATTAAAAAAGATCTGGGGGTGACCTCAGTGATGAAGCAGTATACACACAGCCCTGGGTTCCATCCCCAGCACCAAATGATAATAGAAAAAGAAATGAGATGGTTCCTGTGTTGGAAGATTCCTCCCCTGACTGTTTCCAGGGTCCCCAGGAACCTCCTGGGTGGGTGTGGACACCACTCTTCGCAGAGCTTTGACAGGAGGGTTCAGTTCTCAGAGACCATGTGCAGTTTTGTGTAAACACAAACCCAGTTTATTAAAGGAGATGCCCTTGGAGGGCCCCCCAGAGTTTTAGAGTTTTGATTTATTTGCTGAATCTTGTTATGTTTATGACTCAGCTTAGAGACCCCAATTGAGAGTGGAATTTATTATCTGCAGTTAGAAACGCCAGCTGGGGCTGTCCCTGGTGCCTCGGACCTAATCTCAGGCTGCTGCATCGAGCACAGTTTCTTGGCAGGACATTGGGAAGCGCAGTAATGTGCAGAACATTCCCAGGGCAGCAGAGGGGCTCTGCACTCCAGCTGGGGGCCCTCAGGCTCAGTGTTCAGCAGAGTCCCACTCTAGTCTGCCTGAGTCCTGACAGAGGGCTCCCAGCCCGTTTCTGGGCCCATCCTGTGGAGCTCCCAAGCACCTACCCTTCCCAGGCAGGTGGCTATGGAGAACAGCCCCAGACTGCTTTCCGCCAGGCCCCCGAGGGCCGCAGTGGGTGCAGAGCTGTCGCAGTTGAGAGCAAGTATCTGCAGAGTCTGCCCCCAAAGGCGCAGGGAGAGTTGGATGGCCTGTGAAACCCACCTGGCTTGGACAGTGAGGCCCCCAGCAGGGTCCTTGTGAGGAGCTCAGCGGACCTCAGCAGAGTAGGCAGTCGTCGCCCCGCACGCCCTCCCGCCCGTCTGCGCATCCTCCTTGCTTACATCATGCTTTCTTTCGCCTCACTGTTCCTAAAGAAAAAGAAGCATCAAGGAATAAGAGGCAGAGTCAGGGCATCCCAGTGAGGTCCTGGAGATGGGTGGGGAGTGCAGGGTGCCCACAAAGGCCCGGGTCTTGCATACCAGCCCCTGAAGCCCAGACAGTCTGAGCCTGTGGAGGGCCTGCCACCCTGAACATTCTGCCCTGGCACTGGCTGGGCTGCCAAGAAGCCTCGAGGCCTTTGCCCATGTCCACCTGGGCTTAGTCAAGAGCCTGCAGATCGACAGAGAAGGCCAGGTGGCCCAAGGGCAACTGGCAGCATATCCAAAAAGCTAACAGGAACTTTGTCTTCCTGAGATTCAAATGCATAGACCAGGATGCTGACAGCCCCAATTGTTGGTCCCAGGTCATGCAGAGCAGAAGTTCTGCACAGCAGCGTGTGCTTACAGCCTTTGCATAACCCCGAGTACAGACAGGACTAACCTGGGGTGCATCGATGCAGTTTAGCTGAGGGAGGCAGCTCTCAAAGCACAAAACCTTTCAGAAGAAAACACCCGAGAAGACCCTCATTGTTCCCCACCATGTTCAGCAGCTTGCCCTGGAGCCAGGTAGCACCGGCACCTCTTGGGCGGCTCCTGCTGTAAGCCTGCTTTCCTGAGAAGTAACCGAGGCCTGGCCAGGCTGCGTAAGCGGCCCAGGGCTGCGGCTGGCAGGTGGTAGGGTTAGGCCAGATCCGTCCAGCCTCACGGACAGCTCGGAACGGCATCTGTCCGTCATGGGACTAAATGCCCAGCCTGGCACCCACCCAGGGTCAGGGCTCCAGGCTGAGCCTGAGCTGGACATCCACAGGCTTTTCCTGGAGAACAGCAAGCTGGAGCACAGCAAGGATGAGAGCAGCATTCTGGGCCAAGGGGGCAGCGGCACCGTGATCTACCGGGCCCGGTACCAGGGCCAGCCCGTGGCTGTGAAGCGATTCGACATCAAGAAATTCAAGAATTTCGCTAATGCGCCGGCAGGTAACGTAGCCCTGGCCCAGCTCTGTGTTGTGCAGATGTTGCTTCCTCTCTTCCCTCCGTGCCACCTTAGGGAGACCTGAGGTCACACAGAAGCAAGGCAGGCAGTGAAGGAGGTGGGCCAGACCAGCGTGGGCTCAGGACTTTCTGCCAGGCAGGCTGGGGACATGCTAGAGGGCCAGACCAAGCAGGGTCTGGAAGTCACTCTCAGAGATTCCCTTCCTTGGTCTTTCTACCTGCCCTGTGCCCAGGACGTGCCTGGCCCTTGGGGGATGGGCAGTCTGGCCTAAGAGGGGCCTTCCTTAGGAGACCCCTTGGAGCTGCCTCCTGCGCTGGTGTGAGCTAGGTGCTCCAGATAGATGAATTTGGATATTTCTCCCCACCTACCACCCCTACAAAGATAAGCAGGACCTGGCCGCACCCTGCCTGGTGGCCTCAGCCAGGTATTCCTGTGTGAGCCAGTCACAATCTGGTAGGTATGTCCTGACCCCTCCACAGTCTCCTGAAGACCCTCATTTGGGGGTGAATTTCAAGGGCTTTGCAAGAGGGGTGTAGCATTGTATTGGAATTGCCTGTCACTGACTGCAGCCCTTTCTCTCTTGATCTGAAAATGACTGTCCCAGCCAGTGGCTGTGCCACTTCTCACCGGCAGTGATCAAAGAACAGTGGTGCTTTCCATCTTTGGTGGCCCGTGGCTACTTACCAGGGAATCAGGCCACTGACAGTGGCCCAATGCCCAGTGTCTATGAGGGAGAGGAAGAGACCTTATCATCCTCTGCATCTCCTGGGCCAGGTTCTAAGTGAGACACAGGGATGCAAAAGCAGTAAGGTATAACTGGGACCCACAGACTGCTGGCAGCCAGGGCGATTCAGGGCCACAGAGCCCCTCTCGGTGACAAGGATGGTCACATGGCAGTCTTCCAGCAAGGGGCCAAGTGAGCCTTAGGAACTGCTTGCACAGGAGCTGCCGAATGACAGGGCCATGTTAGCACCTGAGGAGAGGTCTTGGGGTCACCTATAAAGTCACCTTTTGAGGCCAAATTCTGGGCAGCAGTGCTGCAGTCTACCAGGTACCATGTGCCTGAGAGTAGGAACCCTGCCCCCACCTGAGCCAGGTCCTGTGAGGTGGCTCTCAGTGCTGCAGGCCCCTATGTCATGAGTCGCTGCGTGGCACCCTAGTGAGGTCAGGCTGGGTGTCACTAGCCCTGGGTCCAGTGGGCAGCATGTGCCCTGCAGCACCGTCCTCCTTGGGTGGCTGATGGCTGTGCTCCTGTCTCACCCTGCAGATACCATGTTGAGGCACCTGCGGGCCACAGACGCCATGAAGAACTTCTCGGAGTTCCGGCAAGAGGCCAGCATGCTGCATGCCCTGCACCACCCGTGCATTGTGGCGCTTGTCGGCATCAGCATCCACCCACTCTGTTTTGCCCTGGAGCTCGCCCCACTCAGCAGCCTCAATACTGTGCTGTCCGAGAATGCAAGAGGTACCCGCCCTCCCTCAGAGAACATCCACAAGGGGCTGCCTGGGCTGTGCTCCTGGGGGCCACCAGAAACGTGAGCTGGCTGGGCAGCCTCAGGAAGGTCAGGGGTCCAGAACTCCCTCCTGCCTGGCCTAGCTGAATGGGGTGCCACAGTAGAACTAGAGGTGCCTTGTGATGCCCAGCACATGCCCGGTCCCACACCCATCATCTTACCTGGTACCAACAGTGATAGCAGCCATAGTAGCCAGCCTGAGGAGTTTATGCGTTGGAGACAGCAGGCCCAGGTTCCAGCTCCTCATTCTGCCATGACCCATGAGACTGCTTCCTCTGTGACCCGGGCGATGCCTCCATGTGCTACCCAGCAGTGTGCTTTGCTTTATTCAATCAGGTTGATGTATCACATTTAACAGTCCCGATTCACTTGCCTGTGAAAGGATATTAACAGTCCTCACTGGGAGGTCATCAGGCTCCAAATAAGGCAATCCTTGTTAGGCCCAGGGGTGTGTAGCTAATCCTTCCTCTACCCATAATGCACCTTGCTCTTTGCCATCATGGTTAAGGCTGAGACTTGACGTCAGTTATGTCATAGCTTACTCTTTAAAGAAATTTAAGGATAACTTACTTTGAGAAATAGGTGGGCCGGCCAAATAGCTCAGCGGATTAAAGTGCCTACAAGCAGGCACCGGGCCCGGGGGGCTTGATCCCCAGGCCTGCCATGCCAGTCCCACACCCGGAGCACACTGAGCTGGGGATTGAGATTGGGCATGGTGGCATGCGCCTATAATCCCAGCTCTTGGGAGGCTGTGAACAGGTAGATCACTACAAGTCCAATCTAGTAGTGAGACCCTGAACACCCTGTAGACCCTTCCCTAAAAAAATTTTAAAAAAAAATTTTAAAAAGGAGAAATAGGTAACCAAAATCCAAACTGCTGCCAAAAAAAAGGTAGTGGCTGGCTTTTGACTGGGGAAGGTATACTGTATAAATCAATCACTTCAGCCTCAAAAATAAATATTTTAGTGGCATCCTGGACTTGAAGCTCACCTCTTGCCAGCAGAGCAGAGATGGCCTGAGACAAACTCTGAGATCTTGGAGCCTTGCTCATTTAGCAAAATGGCAGCAATTCCAGGCCTGAGATGCAGTGAAGGAGCCCTGAAGAAGAGCATTCTACATTAAGTCCCCTTCCACTTTAAGATAACTTTCTGTCCCTCCTGGCATCCAGCATGGAAAGTCCTGATGATGTGCCCATGGAACACAAAACATCCAGAAATATGTTTGTCAGCTTTCCATTGCTGTGATAAAATACCTGAGCTCGACGACATATAAGGAACAAAGGTTAACTTAGGCTCATAGTTTCAGAGGCTTCAGTCCGTGGTTGCTTGAGTCTGCCGTTTTGGGCCTGTGGTATCACAGCGCATTATGGCTAGAGTATGTGGCAACGAGGACAGCTCACTTGCCAGGAAGCAAAAGGAAAAGAGGGTCTAGGTTTTAGTATCCTCTTCAAGGCCATGCCCCCCAATGACCTAACTTCCTCCCAATGAGTTCTACCTCCTAAAGGTACCCTCACTTACCAATAAAAACTATAGGCTGGGAACCAAACATTAACACACAGGGCTTTAGGAAGGATTTTTTTTTTCTGGCTCAGCGTGCCTTAAGGGCAGGTCTGGTAAAGCATGAGGATCTGAGGATCGAACCACAGCATCCTGAGGCTGAGTGCTTTGGTTAGCAGGCATTTAAAAGACTGAGCTAATGGACAGGAGCCCAATACATGGGGCTTTGGAAGACAAACTGTAGCAAGGAGATAGAAGGAAAGAAGGGGAGATAGTTGCTCCAATGCAGTTTGGTTCTATCAAAAAATTGAAATTGTTATTTTTTTTTCTTCTCAAGATTCTTCCTTCATGCCTCTGGGACACATGCTAACACAAAAAGTAGCCTACCAGATTGCCTCCGGCTTGGCCTACCTGCACAAGAAGAACATCATTTTCTGTGACCTGAAGTCGGACAACATTCTGGTGTGGTCCCTGGACGTCAAGGAGCACGTCAACATCAAGCTGTCAGACTACGGGATCTCGAGACAGTCCTTTCATGAGGGCGCCCTGGGTGTGGAGGGCACACCTGGCTACCAGGCCCCAGAGATCAGGCCTCGCATAGTGTACGATGAGAAGGTACCAGCCCCGTCTACCACCTTCCCCCAGGCTGGCCTGCAGGACCAGAGCTGAGGTCTGATCTAAAGCCATCCAGGCAGTCCTGGAGCGCCTGGCACTTTTGAGCTCAGATTCACCCCACCCTCGCCATAGCACAGTTGTCTCTGACTCCCATGCTCATCGCAAAAGGTTCGGGCTCAAGCCAGAAGGGCTTTTGAGAAACAGACAGAATAAAAATGGTAAAAGAGCCTGGCCCATACATAGGTCTGGGCCCCACAAGGTCCTAGCCAAGTCACAGGCCAACCCAGGAGAAAGGACATTCTGGCAGGACAGACCAACCTGCAGAAGGCCCCACTGGCAACTGCATGGCCGGCCTCAGTTCAGACAGTAGCTAAATGCTTATCTTCTTTCCTATTCGCTGACTGGGAAATACAGACGCTGCAGAATCATCTGAGATTGCACATGTGGCATCTAGTGCTGGCCCTGTGAATCACCCTGCACTGAGATGCTCCTCACAGTAATTTCTTCTTCCTGGGTGATTTTCACATGCGTCACTGACTGATTACTTTGAGAATGGCCTAAGCATCTGTGCGTTAACTTGGCATCTTGGGATATCACCCAACATAAAATAGGTTCAGGACAGCAACAGAAATAAGAGCTTCTTAGGAGCAGGTGACTCAGACATGGTATTCTCCTAGAAACTAAGATTGTTCAAAGTAGTCACATTAATATTTTTCAAATCCATCTCAGCCATTTTTCTACCACAAAGCTATTTCTTGATCCTTACCGGAGCCTGCATAACTCTTTCTTTACTGGGTCTTTTTTTATGACAAGATGAAAGAATACAAGAAGCTGGGATGTCGAAGACTCTTTCCTTGTTGAGTTGTGTACACAGCCCATCCAGTGCCAACCCAGTTAAGCCAACTGTCTTGGCATCTTTGGAGATGGCTGATGGTTAACAAGCTTATAGTGTGTATTTGGTGGGTGGGTGGTTGGATGGATGGATCGATCGATCGATGGATCGATGGATCGATGGATCAATGGATGGACAGTAGGATAGGTAGTCAGATGAATGGATAGGTATATGGAAAGAAGTATGGAAGATGGATGAATAAGGGTACATACAGGACAGGTGGGTGTATTAGATGGATGGCTGGATGGCCAAGTGAGAGAAATAATAGCTAGATGGATA